ACTCAACACTGCCACCCATAGACTCAACACTGCCACCCATAGACTCAACACTGCCACCCATAGACTCAGCACTGCCACCCATAGACTCAACACTGCCACCCATAGACTCAACACTGCCACCCATAGACTCAACACTGCCACCCATAGACTCAACACTGCCACCCATAGACTCAACACTGTCATAGACTCAACACTGCACCATAGACTCAACACTGCCACCCATAGACTCAACACTGCCACCCATAGACTCAACAACGCCACCCATAGACTCAACACTGCCACCCATAGACTCAACACTGCCACCCATAGACTCAACACTGCCACCCATAGACTCAACACTGCCACCCATAGACTCAACACTGCCACCCATAGACTCAACACTGCCACTCATAGACTCAACACTGCCACCCATAGACTCAACACTGCCACCCATAGACTCAACACTGCCACCCATAGACTCAACACTGCCACCCATAGACTCAACACTGCCACCCATAGACTCAGCACTGCCACCCATAGACTCAACACTGCCACCCATAGACTCAACACTGCCACCCATAGACTCAGCACTGCCACCCATAGACTCAACACTACCACCCATAGACTCAACACTGCCACCCATAGTCTCAGCACTGCCACCCATAGACTCAACACTGCCACCCATAGACTCAACACTGCCACCCATAGACTCAACACTGCCACCCATAGACTCAACACTGCCACCCATAGACTCAACACTGCCACACATAGACTCAACACTGCCACCCATAGACTCAACACTGCCACCCATAGACTCAACACTGCCACCCATAGACTCAACACTGCCACCCATAGACTCAACACTGCCACCCATAGACTCAACACTGCCACCCATAGACTCAACACTTCCACCCATAGACTCAGCACTGCCACCCATAGACTCAACACTGCCACCCATAGACTCAACACTGCCACCCATAGACTCAGCACTGCCACCCATAGACTCAACACTACCACCCATAGACTCAACACTGCCACCCATAGACTCAACACTGCCACCCATAGACTCAGCACTGCCACCCATAGACTCAACACTGCCACCCATAGACTCAACACTGCCACCCATAGACTCAACACTACTACCCATAGACTCAACACTGCCACCCATAGACTCAGCACTGCCACCCATAGACTCAACACTGCCACCCATAGTCTCAACACTGCCACCCATAGACTCAACTCTGCCACCCATAGACTCAACATTGCCACTCATAGACTCAACACTGCCACCCATAGACTCAACACTGCCACCCATAGACTCAACACTGCCACCCATAGACTCAACACTGCCACCCATAGACTCAGCACTGCCACCCATAGACTCAACACTGCCACCCATAGACTCAATACTGCCACCCATAGACTCAACACTGCCACCCATAGACTCAACACTGCCACCCATAGACTCAACACTGCCACTCATAGACTCAACACTGCCACCCATAGACTCAACACTGCCACCCATAGACTCAACACTGCCACCCATAGACTCAGCACTGCCACCCATAGACTCAACACTACCACCCATAGACTCAACACTGCCACCCATAGGCTCAGCACTGCCACCCATAGACTCAACACTGCCACACATAGACTCAACACTGCCACCCATAGACTCAACACTGCCACCCATAGACTCAACACTGCCACCCATAGACTCAACACTGCCACCCATAGACTCAACACTGCCACCCATAGACTCAACACTGCCACCCATAGACTCAACACTTCCACCCATAGACTCAGCACTGCCACCCATAGACTCAACACTGCCACCCATAGACTCAACACTGCCACCCATAGACTCAGCACTGCCACCCATAGACTCAACACTACCACCCATAGACTCAACACTGCCACCCATAGACTCAGCACTGCCACCCATAGTCTCAGCACTGCCACCCATAGACTCAACACTGCCACCCATAGACTCAACACTGCCACCCATAGACTCAACACTACTACCCATAGACTCAACACTGCCACCCATAGACTCAGCACTGCCACCCATAGACTCAACACTGCCACCCATAGTCTCAACACTGCCACCCATAGACTCATCTCTGCCACCCATAGACTCAACATTGCCACTCATAGACTCAACACTGCCACCCATAGACTCAACACTGCCACCCATAGACTCAACACTGCCACCATAGACTCAACACTGCCACCCATAGACTCAGCACTGCCACCCATAGACTCAACACTGCCACCCATAGACTCAATACTGCCACCCATAGACTCAACACTGCCACCCATAGACTCAACACTGCCACCCATAGACTCAACACTGCCACCCATAGACTCAACACTGCCACCCATAGACTCAACACTGCCACCCATAGACTCAACACTGCCACCCATAGACTCAACACTGCCACCCATAGACTCAACACTGCCACCATAGACTCAACACTGCCACCCATAGACTCAACACTGCCACCCATAGACTCAACACTGCCACCCATAGACTCAACACTGCCACCCATAGACTCAACACTGCCACCCATAGACTCACACTCATGACTCACACTGCCACCCATAGACTCAGCACTGCCACCCATAGACTCAACACTGCCACTCATAGACTCAACACTGCCACCCATAGACTCAACACTGCCACCCATAGACTCAACACTGCCACCCATAGACTCAACACTGCCACCCATAGACTCAACACTGCCACCCATAGACTCAACACTGCCACCCATAGACTCAGCACTGCCACCCATAGACTCAACACTGCCACCCATAGACTCAATACTGCCACCCATAGACTCAACACTGCGACCCATAGACTTAACACTTAGACTCATAGACTCAACACTGCCACCCATAGACTCAACACTGTCACCCATAGATTCAACACTGCCACCCATAGACTCAACACTGCCACCCATAGACTCAGCACTGCCACCCATAGACTCATCACTGCCACCCATAGACTCAACCCTGCCACCCATAGACTCAACACTGCCACACATAGACTCAACACTGCCACCCATAGACTCAACACTGCCACCAATAGACTCAACACTGCCACCCATAGACTCAACATTGCCACCCATAGACTCAACATTGCCACCCATAGACTCAACACTGCCACCCATAGACTCAACACTGCCACCCATAGACTCAACACTGCCACCCATAGACTCAACACTGCCACCCATAGACTCAACACTGCCACCCATAGACTCAACACTGCCACCCATAGACTCAACACTGCCACCCATAGACTCAACACTGCCACCCATAGACACAACACTGCCACCCATAGACTCAACACTGCCACCCATAGACTCAACACTGCCACCCATAGACTCAACACTGCCACCCATAGACTCAATACTGCCACCCATAGACTCAACACTACGACCCATAGACTCAACACTGAGACTCATAGACTCAACACTGCCACCCATAGACTCAACACTGCCACCCATAGACTCAACACTGCCACCCATAGACTCAGCACTGCCACACATAGACTCAACACTGCCACCCATAGACTCAACACTGCCACCCATAGACTCAACACTGCCACCCATAGACTCAACACTGCCACCCATAGACTCACCACTGCCACCCATAGACTCAACACTGCCACCCATAGACTCAACACTGCCACCCATAGACTCAACACTGCCACCCATAGACTCAGCGCTGCCACCCATAGACTCAACGCTGCCACCCATAGACTCAACGCTGCCACCCATAGACTCAACACTGCCACCCATAGACTCAACACTGCCACCCATAGACTCAACACTGCAACCCATAGACTCAGCACTGCCACACATAGACTCAACACTGCCACCCATAGACTCAACACTGCCACCCATAGACTCAGCACTGCCACCCATAGGCTCAGCACTGCCACCCATAGACTCAACACTGCCACCCATAGACTCAACACTCCCACCCATAGACTCAACACTACCACCCATAGACTCAACACTGCCACCCATAGACTCAGCACTGCCACCCATAGACTCAACACTGCCACCCATAGACTCAACACTACCACCCATAGACTCAACACTGCCACCCATAGACTCACCACTGCCACCCATAGACTCAACACTGCCACCCATAGACTCAACACTGCCACACATAGACTCAACACCTGCCACCCGTAGACTCAACACTGCCACCCATAGACTCAACACTGCCACCCATAGACTCAACACTGCCACCATATACTCAATACTGCCACCCATAGACTCAACACTGCCACCCATAGACTCAACATTGCCACCCATACTCAACACTGCCACCCATAGACTCAACACTGCCACCCGTAGACTCAATACTGCCACCCATAGACTCAACACTGCCACCCATAGACTCAACACTGCCACCCATAGACTCAACACTGCCACCCATAGACTCAACACTGCCACCCATAGACTCAGCACTGCCACCATAGGCTCAGCACTGCCACCCATAGACTCAAGACTGCCACCCATAGACTCAACACTCCCACCCATAGACTCAACACTACCACCCATAGACTCAACACTGCCACCCATAGGACTCAGCACTGCCACCCATAGACTCAACACTGCCACCCATAGACTCAACACTACCACCCATAGACTCAACACTGCCACCCATAGGACTCAACACTGCCACCCATAGACTCAACACTGCCACCCATAGACTCAACACTGCCACACATAGACTCAACACTGCCACCCGTAGACTCAACACTGCCACCCATAGACTCAACACTGCCACCCATAGACTCAACACTGCCAACCATAGACTCAATACTGCCACCCATAGACTCAACACTACGACCCATCGACTCAACACTGAGACTCATAGACTCAAACACTGCCACCCATAGACTCACACTGCCACCCTTAGACTTAACACTCTCACCCATAGACTCAACACTGCCACCCATAGATTCACAATGTGTTTTCCCTCCCCCTCCACCTCCTCCACAGAGTGAAGAGGCCATGTAAGGCTGAAGACTCGAGACAGCCAAAACCAATTGCATGCCGAGTTGCCAAGTTGCCGAGTTGCCGAGTAGTTGTGTTGCTGAGTTTCTAAGTTGCCAGGTTGTTCAGTTTGTGCGTAAATAAGTTACTGGCTGGCTGCGTAGCTGAGTTGTTGAGTTGCTGGGTAGCTGAGTTGCTGGGTAGCTGAGTTGCTGGGTAGTTGAGTTGCTGGGTAGCTGAGTTGCTGGGTAGTTGAGTTACTGGGTAGTTGAGTTGCTGGGTAGCTGAGTTGCTGGGTAGTTGAGTTGCTGGGTAGTTGAGTTGCTGGGTAGCTGAGTTGCTGGGTAGCTGAGTTGCTGGGTAGTTGAGTTGCTGGGTAGCTGAGTTGCTGGGTAATTGAGTTACTGGGTAGCTGAGTTGCTGGATAGTTTAGTTGCTGGGTAGTTGAGGTCGCTGGGTAGTTGAGTTGCTGGGTAGCTGAGTTGCTGGGTAGTTGAGTTGCTGGGTAGCTGAGTTGCTGGGTAGTTGAGTTGCTGGGTAGTTGAGTTGCTGGGTAGCTGAGTTGCTGGGTAGCTGAGTTGCTGGGTAGTTGAGTTGCTGGGTAGCTGAGTTGCTGGGTAATTGAGTTTACTGGGTAGCTGAGTTGCTGGATAGTTTAGTTGCTGGGTAGTTGAGTCGCTGGGTAGTTGAGTTGCTGGGTAGCTGAGTTGCTGGGTAGTTGAGTTACTGGGTAGTTGAGTTGCTGGGTAGTTGAGTTGCTGGGTAGTTGAGTTGCTGGGTAGCTGAGTTGCTGGGTAGCTGAGTTGCTGAGTAGTTGAGTTGCTGGGTAGCTGAGTTGCTGAGTAGCTGAGTTGCTGGGTAGTTGAGTTGCTGGGTAGTTGAGTTGCTGAGTAGTTGAGTTGCTGGATAGTTGAGTTGCTGGGTAGTTGAGTTGCTGGGTAGTTGAGTTGCTGGGTAGTTGAGTTACTGGGTAGTTGAGTTGCTGGGTAGTTGAGTTGCTGAGTAGTTGAGTTGCTGGGTAGGTTGAGTTGCTGGGTAGTTGAGTTGCTGAGTCTGGGGCTGTGACTCGTTGCAATAAACGCAGAGAGTTGGCAACTCTCCTTCCGTGTAGACTCATCTGTGTGTGTGTGCACGTGTGTGTGTGTACACGTGTGTGTGTACACGTGTGTGGTGTGTACACGTGTGTGTGTACACGTGTGTGGTGTGTGCACGTGTTGTGTACACGTGTGTGTACACGTGTGTGTGTGTGCACGTGTGTGTGTACACGTGTGTGTGTGTGTACACGTGTGTGTGTACACGTGTGTGTGTACATGTGTGTGTGTGCACGTGTGTGTGTGTACGTGTGTGTGTGTACACGTGTGTGTACACGTGTGTGTGTGTACACGTGTGTGTGTGCACGTGTGTGTGTACACGTGTGTGTGTGTGTGTACACGTGTGTGTGTGGGTACACGTGTTTGTCCGGCAAAACAACCCCCTACCTCCTCGCGGTGCCGGACGCACAACTCTGTCGTGGACAATGCTGTGGGGGGAGGAGCCAATTCCGATTGGCTCCTCCCCTCATGGCGTCTGTGACCACCACAGTGGCTAAACGGGGGCTCTGGACGGGTGCGATGGGCTGGTAACCCCTCCATCTTCAATAAATTTCCACTAAACCACGAATGAATTAAAAATGTAACTAATAAGCTTGTGCCAGAGGCCCCGGGGGGACAGGCGTCTATGACGTCTCCTGGCCAAACCCCATTTGGCGGAGCCAGGAGATTGAATCTCTACCCTCGGGGCTCCTCCAGAAACAACGAAAAGCCACTTCGTGTGGCCACGTTGAATGTTCGAATGCTCACTGCGGAGGAGAGGCTGCCATTCAGGAGGTCCGTTGGACCGGTTCTGGCTCCTGCCACCATAAGGGGTGGACAGTCCTCTACTCGGGGCAGCAGACTGCCAAACAACAGGGTGTGGCTCTTCTTTTGAACAAAAGAATGAAAGGGGCATGGGAACGTGGCAGTGAGGTGTGGGAAGCTGTAAGCCCCAGGCTACTTTTGGCTCGCCTTCCCATCAACCGGAGGCGAGGAGTGGTGGTCGTGGTTACTTATGCCCCACCGAAGACGAACATCCATGGAGGGATGCAGGCAAAGCCGATGAGTCAGATGCCTTCTATGACCTGTCACAGGTGCTGGCTAAAGTGGCCCCTCGGGATAGAGTCATCTTGTTGGGTGACTTCAATGCCCGAGTTGGTCATGATGCTGGCACCTGGTCTGGAGTGATTGGAGGGCATGGGCCAGATCAGCTCAATAACAACGGTAGGAGGGTGCTAGATTTTTGTGCAGCCCATGGGCTTGTAATTACCAACACGCTGTTCCAGCATCGGCGCATCCAAACAACATCATGGATGCATGCCGGGGTCCAAGCAAGAACATCTGCTGGACTACATAGTGACGGACCAACGAATGCGAGCCCATGTCCTTGACACCAGGACCTACCGTGGAGCTTGATCTGCCCTCTGACCATCGACTTGTCATCTGTAAGATGCGCCTGCCATTCTTCCACTCCGGTGGTGGGTGTTATACCCAGGACCCCATTCCAACCTAAAGTGGCCTGGTCTCAGTTATCTGATGAAAGTTGCAAGCGAGAATTACATCATCCGCTTGCGGCTGGGGTTGGCATCGTCCCTCACTCCTCCTGATGTCGAGGGTAAATGGGCGAGGTTTAGGACTGTGACTCATGCAGCTGCAATGGCTGCT